CACAAATAAATAAATCTTAAAAAAAAGAAAAAACAAAAAAGAATTATGTGCTGAAACACAATGGACAGATCCTATCTTTATTCTCTTATTTTCCTTGCTATTAAAGACAAATCTACAAAGACATCATTAAAAACTATGTCATAGGGTGTTTTGTCTGTGTTTCCTTCTATGAATTTTATAGTTCTAGTTCTTATATCCAAGTCTTTTAATCATTTTGAGTTAATTTATATGTATGTTGTGAGATAGTGGTGTAATTTTATTGTTTTTGCCACTGGCTATCTGTTTCCACAAAATCATTTATTGAGGAGGCTTCTCCTGTAGTATATATTCTTGACTCTTTTGTTGTAGATTAAGTGACCATATAGGTCACCATATAGGTGTGGGTTTATTTGTGGTCTCCCAATTCTGTTCCATTGATCTGTGTGTGTGTTTTGTTCTAGTATTACACTGTTTTGATTACTACTGCTTTGTCGTGTAGCTTGAAGTCATGGCTGCCTTTTTCCCCCCAGAATTGCTTAGACTGTTTTGTCAAGATGTGGTTCCATATGAATTTCAATAATGTTTCTTTTATTTATTTAAATAATGCTATTAGAACTTTGATAGTTTTGAATCTGTATATAGCTTTGTGTAGGTTGAGGTTGCTATTTTGACAGGGTCAGTATTTCCAATCCATGAACAAGATGTTCCGCATTTTTGTATCTTCTATTTCTTTTAACATTTATAGTTTTCTTTGTGGAGGCCCTTTGCCTGTTTTCTTAAGTTTACTCCTAGGTATTTAATTGTTTTTGATCTTGTGGTAAATGGGGTTATTTATTTTCTTGATATTGGATGACTCATTTTGTGTATTGATTTTGTAACCTGCCACTTTGCTAACGTGATTGTTGTTTTAACTCATTTTCTAGTGAAGTTTTTAGGGTTCTCTGTATATTATCATATCATTTGCAAATAAAGATAGCTTTACTTCTTTCCCATTTGAATTCCTTTTATATACTCTTGCCTAATTGCTGTAATTGTGCTTCAGTTGCATTAAGGTTCCAACTATTTCCTGTTAGAATAGCTTTCTACTATAGATAATACTTACAAAAGTCATACTGTACTAATATTTCAAATATCATTTTCATTCAGAAAAAAATAACTGGAATGATTTGATGAATAAGGGTTTTTAATATGTCTTAGAGCTGAGTTCATATATGTATATGAACTTAATGATTTTCTAACTAATTTTATATCCAACTACAATGATTACCTTATTGTTTCTAATACTTTACTGGATTCTTTGAGAGTTTCCAACTATGCAATCTTTTCATTTATAAATAGCTAAAATTTTACCATCTCCTTTCAAATGTTTTTTTCTTTTGCTTAATTGCATTGTCTGATGCCTTCAGGACAATGTTAAATCATAGAGAAAATAATGGACGTACTTGGTTTGTTCCTTAAGAATGTTTCCAATATTAACCCAGTGGGCATTATTCTCATTTTTGATTTGAGACATATATATTATCATGTTAAGGAATTTTCTGGCTTATTAATATTACATTTTCTTTTAAATCAAGAGAGATGATTGGATTTTGTTTCATTTTCTATTGTCTATAGAGATAACCATATGATTTTCAAATTTTGTCTCAGCATGCTAGATTATATTAAATATAAATCACCCCTGACTTCAGGGAAATTTCTCCCTCTATAGTTTTATAATTATTTTATAAACAACACCTGAAAGTTTTTCTTTATTTTTAAAAATGTCTGAGCAGTTAAAATATATTGGCAATATGGGTCTTTTACAGGCTTGGTATAATTTTGTTTGAAATCTTTTGGGTGTAATGTTTTTTATAGAGGGTAGCCCCTAACTTTTCAAAATTCAGTAGTAGTTAATCTTAGGTTTTCTATCTCTTTCAAAATTAGTTTTTACTAAACTAATAGAAATATATATGTAATGACTACATATACATAGGTAGATTACTCATTCAGTTTAAAAATTTATTTTCTTAATGTTATATGTAATAGTAACAGTGGCCATTGCTTCTTACTGATTTTTACTTCTTTTTGTATCTATGATTATAGCTTCTTTATTAATTATTTTGTATATTTGA